AGGGAAGAATGTATGGGAGGAGCAGGAGCCAGAGCCACAAAGACAAGGCAAGAGGAAGTAAAGGAGATGTGTTGTCTCTGTGGGTAAGAAAACCGACCCTGATGAACAGAATGATCCCACACTCCTGCTCCTCCTCCCCCTCCTCCTCCTCCTCCTCCCCCTCCTCCTCCTCCCCCTCTCCCCTCTACTCTCTCCCTGACTGCTAGGTCGGGGTGTGGGCCAAAAGGGAAGAATGTATGGGAGGAGCAGGAGCCAGAGCCACAAAGACAAGGCAAGAGGAAGTAAAGGAGATGTGTTGTCTCTGTGGGTAAGAAAACCGCAAAATCCTCTTCACACCACCTGCTGGGCACTGGAGCCGCCTCGGGCATCCTGGGGGAGAGAAGTCCTTCTGGTTCAGTCACAGACTTGCTTTTAAAAAAATTTTTTTAAATTAATTAATTTACTCATTTATTTTATAATAGACTTTATTTTTTAGAGCAGTTTTAGGCTCATAGTAAAATAGTGCATAAAGTACAGAGAGTTCCCGTATACCCCCTTACACCACACCCCCACAATCTATGGCATTATTGACACCCTGCACCACCGTGGTGCATATTACGACTGATGAACCTACACTGACACGTCATTATCACCCAAAGTTCATAGTTTACATTAGTATTCACTCTTGGTGTTGTACACTCTGTGGTTCGGACAAATGTATGATGACATGTATCCATCATTATAGTATCATACAGAGTACTTTCACTGCCTTAAACATCCTCTGTGCTCTGCCCGTTCATCCCTCTCTCCCCCCAACCCCTGGCAACCACTGATCTTTTGACTGTCTCTGTAGCCGTGCCTTTTCCAGAATGTCATATAGTTGGAATCATACAGAGTGTAGTCTTTTCAAATTTGCCTTGTTCACTTACCAGTATGTGTTTAAGGTTCCTCCACGTCTTTCCATGGCTTGGCAGCTCATATGGCCTTTCATTTTAACACTCATCATGAACACTGGAATGGAGGCTGGAGAGACCCTGGGCTCTAAAATTATCCTAGGTGCTAATGCAGCCCATGGTTTCCCAAGAGAGCTGTAAGCAAAGACTGTGCTGTGAGGCAGCAGTCTCTGGCCCCCACTGGCTCCATTCAAAAGAGTGGTTGGTGAAAACAGGGCTCTTCGCTCCCTTTTCTGCGTGGGTGCCAGGAGAATGCATATGGAAGTGAGGGCCCTGCAGCCTGCCCACCTGTGCCAGGGAGGGGAGGTGGGATCTGGTGAATGTGACAGCTCAGCTCGGGATTCTTTTCCTTGACAATTGCGGCCTTCTGCTGGGGTCCCACAGGAAGCTCAGAGAGGCCCACACAGCAGAGCTCAGCGAGTTGGAGAGCAACTACCAAGCAGCCTTGAAGGCAGAGAGGTTGGCTGCCCAGGAGAAACTAGGTATGGTTGGACCGGGGAGAACAACCCTGGTGAAGGGGCGGGAGCTTGACCATGTGGGTCTCCGGCCGAGGGACTCCCCTGTCCATGGGTGGGCTGTGGCTGGTCTCTCGAGGTTTCCTCCCAAGCCCGGGGAGAGAAGGTGACTGAGAATGAAACTGAAAAGAGGGAAACCAAGTCTACTGGTGTCCTTCCTAGGCCCAGAAGATGGAAAGGCCTGAGACCAACTTTTGGGACCTGAGCAAGTCCCTTCACCTCCTTGAGTCTCAGTTTCCCCATCTGGGAATTGAGGACAATAATACCTGCCTTTATCAGAGGGATGAGAATGTGAAGGCACTTTTTAAAGTATATTCAATGTTCTACAAATATAACACTATTGCAACTGAGCAAGTTTCCTTACCGTAAAATGATGGTGTCTCATTCAGTTCTAGCTGACACGCTGTGATTTCTGCGGCCCTGTAAGCCAGAGGGGTTATGTTGGCCATCTATTGCATTGTTTATGCTACCCTTGGGAAGGGCAGAGTGTGTATCCTTCAGAATTCTGAGTTTATAGACTAGTCTCCACAGGGGGAAGGAGAAACTCTATAACCTTCTCCCTTCCTTTTGCCTTACATTTTTTAAAGATATTTACACCTTGTTGACTTCATAATTTTCTAAAGAGATCATGCATTGTTTTCAAAATCAATGCACACTAGGAAGTGCTGTTTAAAAAGAGAGCAGCAGATGCATGCTGCAAGGTTTTGCTCCTCTTTTTCCCACAGACGTAGGTTTACTCTGGGGATGAGTTCTCAGACTTCACGTGCATCAGAATCGCCTGAGAAGCATATTATCGACAGATCCTGGGCCTCTCCTCTGAGACCTCAATTCAGTAGATTTAGGGTGGGGTCCAGGCATCTGAATTTCAAATAAGTTTCCAGAGTGATTTCTGAGGCACACATGGTTTCACCATCTAGGGGATGAGTTTGGGGTAGGGAAGGTATGCAGAAGAGCTCACAGTTGAATTTGAAAATGTGCATTTCAGAGGAGTAATGACAACCCTGTTATTTTCCTTTTGTCCAGAGGAGATGGGAAAGGAATATAAGTATTTGAAGAATATGTTTTATATGTATCAGGTAAGATTTGGAGCTCCTTGGTGGATGAGGAGAGTAAGAAAAGCAAAGCTCCTTCCTGCTGATGACATTGGGATGAATCTAGAGCCCTTGCCCAGAAAATAATTCCTGAGACTTCCCGCTTCCCGGGACCTCAGTGGCACTAGCTGCACCCAGAGAGAAGAGTGAGCCTGCAGACTGCGATGGCTTCCGTGCGTGACGAGTCAGTCACCCAGACCCTAAGGAAGCCCATTGAAAAATACGTTTGTGATTACAAAAGTAACACCTGCTCATTTTTTTAATGACAATACAAAACCAAGAAAGAAAGAAAGAAAGTACTATCACCACCCCAAGATACCCCTAATGTCTGTACTTGGTAACATCTTTTATGCTAGTAGAGTGCTAGGTCAAAAGGAATAAACATTTTAAAGGCCTTTGATACAGTTGGCCCAACTGGAATCCAGAAAGGCTGTATCATTGTATCTGTATCTGCTCCGCTCCCACAGCAGAGCACAGGGGTCTCCAGCCATCTCAGAACACAACCTATGCATTTAATCGGCTAATTTGATGGCGGCCCAGGGAACCAGGATATGATTTCTTCCTAGGGGGACGGGAGTGGCAGATGGGGAGTGGACAGGGCAAGGGCTGGGGTGGCAAGCCCCAACCCGTGGTGACCAACTAGCCCTGGTTGGCCCGGACTTTCCAGGTCTTAGCGCTGAAAGTCCGGAGCCTCAGGAAACAACTCAGTCCCAGGCAGACAAGGCCCACCTCTGAAATTCTATTCTCCACTCACAATTTCAGTTCTGAGCTTGTATCCAAAGCTCGTTTTTCACGCTGTACCTTGATAGAGTCGGGGAAAGCATCACAGAGCAGAGCCTAAGAGAAGCGGCAGGGTGACGGCAGGCAAGCTCTCCCAGTTTCCGCGGGACACTTCATGCTTGCCTCAGTTTGGGCCTCTCCAGAGGGTTGACCTCTAGCTAAACCGACCTGCCCACCAGTCTCGAAGAGGATGAGCGAAAACCTCTATCTAAATGGCCACAAACAATTATAGACGAGCTCTGATGCTGAGTCCGGTGAGAACCCTGCTGCTGACCTGAACGGCGAGGGGGCCAGGGTCCTGAGACCTTACAGCCGCAGCCAGATCCTGAGTCTTCCCCTCCTGCCATCCCACCTCATGGAGTCTGAACCAACCCCCAGGACTGCATCGGGCTAGGTTTATTTAACCTCAACCACAAAGGAAGTTAGGCTTGCTGAGGAAAAGTAGACACTCTGAAAAGTATCCCATTGTTTTCTAAGTGTTCAGTTAACTACGAGGCCATTCCCTTGTTTCTTCGTGTGCTATTGATTCATGATTCAGAGAGCGCTGACCTGTGCGTCCTCATGGGAGCCCTCCCTATCTTCAAAGGAAACCCTGATCCAGGGGGGCAAACACATGCAGAGTTCGCCTTTGACTTTCAGGGTCCGCAGGCCCTCAGGTGGGCTGGGCTGGAATTTACCTCCATCAGCCCCGCATGTCGGGGCCCCCTAGCACGAGTCCCAGGTGAGGGAAGCTGCACTGTGCTGAGGGTGGGTGTGCAGTGCTGGGGGGCCTCCCAGCCTCTCCAGGTGTCCTTTCTCAGCACCTTCTCTTCGTGGTGCCCTGTGCCTCCACAGGACAGCATTCATGATGAGCTGGAGGATAAGTGGTCAGAGAAGAAGGCAGAATGGGAGAAGGATGAGAAGCTGGAGCGGGAAAAGATCCTGCTACAGCAAAGTGAGTACAGACACTTCTGACTTTTCCATGACAGGTGCACCAAAAAACTGCCATTAAGCTTGGTCTCCACTCGAGGAAGGCAACCTTGGGTTCACTGAGGGTGACGGGCCACATGGCTGGTCTCCTGAATGCAAGGTGCCTGGGGTTTTTAAGAAAGTGACAACAAGGATGGAGTCTTCTATGAAGTTCAGTCACCTGGGAGTCTAAGCCCGCACCTGCCAAAACTCACTGGTTCCAAGTTCGGCCATCGTGGGCTACAACAAGCTTTGGGACATCTGTAGGAGTGTAGGCTTATTATCTGGATACAGGTGACCCCACAGTTCCAGAAAAAATTTCTTGAATTAGAGTTTCAAATATTCAGTTGTTTGGAGAGGGCAATACAATCCATTATACTGAGAGCCTCTATATTCCCACATCCCTCCAAAGGAAGCCATGTTTGATTATACATATATGATTACATATATTATGTATATTGATTATATACAAATTTATTATATATATGTATAATTGAGCTATCATTGACATATAACATTGTGTAAGTTTCAAGTATACAACATGTTGATTTGATACATTTATATATTGCTCTCTCTATTTTTTTTTTTCCTGGTGAGGAAGATTAGCCCTGAGCTAACCTCTGTTGCCAATCCTACTCTTTTTCCTGAGGGAGATTGGCCCTGAGCTAACATCTGTGCCCTTCTTCCTCTACTTTATATGGGATGCCACCGCAGCATGGCCTGACAAGCGGTGCATAGGTAGGCACCCGGGATCCAAACCTGCTAACCCTGGCCGCCGAAGCAGAGCACGCGCACTTAATCACTACACCACCAGGCCGGCCCCCTATTGCTCTATATTTTCAATCTTTCCAACACTTAGCACAGAGTTTGGGTCATACAGAGTGCTCTACAGATGAGCTTCCTACCCGCACTGAGCTTCTTCGTAAATGGAAAAAGGAGAGAGGAGTTCACCGAGCCTCTGCTCCCTGAGCTACAGGACTAGTTGAGGCAGGAGTGGGGCCTCTATAAACCTATTCCACATCCTACCCCCACCCAATTCATATCAGATTTTGTTGATTTTAACAAATTAGTCATTTAAATGCAGATACTCCCTGGGGAAGTTTATCCTCAAGGTCGTTCCTACCCGGCTGGCGACTCGGGACTGTGAGAAGGCAGCATGAGTACCTGGAGTTAAGACAGGAACAGAGAGTGGCGCTGCTCCGGTTTGAGGCGTGACCTGGAATCCTGGGTGGCATAGCCCGGGTCATCTCCCGACTCCTGGCTATCACACTCGTCCCATGTTGTCAAAGTCTAAGTTAAGGGGTTACAACCAGTTTTGGAGGACCAGTCGTTAGCTGCTTGTAGTGAATCTCCGTCCAGACTTGTCCTGTGAGCCCAAGGGTTGCCTCTCTCTCCACCCCCAGCACCGCGATCCTGAAGAGATTTGTGTCATCCCTCACGCCTGCTTCCTCTTGTTTAGCATTGAGGCACTGCTGGCAGGTTCCGCAAACCATTTAAGCTTACCTCCACCCCAGGGCTAAGTACTGAATGGATTGTATTGTTGGAAAAGTCACATTAGCCAAGAGCTGTATTTTAAGATAAAGATATCCAAGAAAGCGTAGTGGTTACTTCACCAGAGGGAATGGACAAAATAATAAGCAACAGATCCAAAATAAACCACGTGAACAGAACCAGAGACGTCAGAGGTAAGTCCCACATGGGGACGTGATTGAGAACCAGCACCGTGTTAGCCTCACTCTCAAGCATCTCTGGGTGGGCGCCAGAGGCCTGACACCAGGGTGAAAGACCTTGAGTCTGACCCAGTCTGGAATTTCTATTATCTTCAGATATTCTGGCTTTGTCTCTGCCTCTGTTTTTCACTCATCTACACATATATCTGATTTCCTCTCACCTCCACAGAGCATAAGATGACAAAGAAGTTTGAATTAGAGTCAGAGGAAGAAAGGAAGAAAATAAAGGACTCCCACAGTGCTGTCTTTGAGAACTTCAATCGCGAGAAGGAGGTAACTGAGCCCACAGCACGTCAGGGTTTGGATGTGCAGTCTAGATGGGACATCGGCTCTCAGGTGTGCCTGGGTAATTAGGCGAGCTTTTTGTCTTTAGGGACCTATTCCTCTTTTCCTAGCTGCCCTGGAAATACATGCAAGTAGACTGACAATCTTGCTATCCTTTATGTAGACAGTCTTACCGTAGGGTTATTGGAATGAGAATTGTAGTTAACAGGAAATAATAGAATGCTAAACGTATATATAGAACCTGAAACTCCCAATTTTGCCAAAATCCCAGTCTCTGAATGTCCTTCTCGTCCTTGCAGCTGAAGAGAAAGGGCACTGTTGCAAACTGAACTCAGCAAATTTGGTCACGAACACCTCTTACTAAACAAGAGTAGCTACCTAAAGTTAGAGGTGGGCGAGGGTTAGCTACTCCTGTCAGTCACTCCTGCCCAACCTTGATATTGATACGAGGTTATAACGAAAGCAGGTCTCAGACCAAATTCCACCAAACACACGGACATTTGCTAAACGAACATGCGTTAACAGGCAGGTCCCAAGCAGTTATACCACCAGCTCTCTGAGCTTTTGGGTACATGAAAGATTCATCAGAGTTATACACAACAGTATTACAGAGGCAGGACTCTGTAACCCTTGTAGTCAGCGTCAGGCAACCAGAGCGCCTCCTCAGCAGGACCATTTAGGAGTCAAGTCTTAGACGCCGTCCCTAAGTGCACAGGGTACACGCTTTGTTAGATTCTTGTACCCTTTTCATGCAAAATGGAGAGTGTCTCTAAAATATTTTAGCATGAATATTCCATTTTTAAGAGCACATTTCTCACCATCATGCTAATTGAAAAGCTGCTAATTTCACCGATAAAAGCCTATTTCTGGCATTCGCTATATTACTGAGCAAAACAATAATGAGGAGACGGGGCGTGCTCTGCAGTATGTCTAGTGCTTCTGCGGTCTAGAGAGCTCAGAATAAGAGGCAGCAGTTCCTCTGGGGGGAGAGATTTGATCACCTGATGTATCCCTTCCGCCCCCTATTTTCTCCCTAGTGATGGTGACTATAAATCTGTAAATGAGTGCTTTGTGTCTCTCTCTCTTTTCTCTCATTGAGGTGTAATTTATACTTAGCAAAATGCACAGATAGGAAGTGTGCAGTTTGATGGGTTTTGACAAATGTATACATCCATGTAACCAACACTCAAATCAAGATCTAGAACATTTCATCAACCCAGAAAGCACTCTGTTCCTTTCCACTTAAGGCCTATCTCCCTCAAAACCTGCCCCAAGACAGCCCCTCTTTCGATTCCTACACCATAGATTAGTTTTGCTTTTTTACGTGATTACAGTTTTAGTTTCCCTGATGACTAATTATGTTGGGCAATTTTTCATATGCTTATTGGACCATTTCTACATCTTCTTTTGTGAAGTGTCAATTCTTTTGCCGTTTAAAAAACTTGGGTTATTTATCTTTTTATTATTAATATGTAGGAGTACTTTTTGCACTATGGATACGAGTTCTTTGTCAGACACACATGTTGTGAATTCTGCCTGCCAGCCTGTGGTTTACCTTTGCATTTTGCTCATGTTGTCTTTCGATGTGTAGAAGTTTTTAATTTCGATGAAAGTCAAATTACCAATTTTTTGCTTTTATGGTTACAGCTTTTTGTGTCCTCTCTAGGAAATTGTTACCTATTCCAAGAACATGAAGATATTCTATTTTTTAAAAAGGTTTATAACTTTAGCTTTTATGATTCTAGGATCCACTTTGAATAATTCTTGTGTATGGAGTGAGGTAGAGGTCACAGGTCTTTTTTTTCCATATGAATATCCATTTGTTCCAGAATGATTTGTGGAAAAAACTTTCCTTTCTCCAGTAAGTTGCCTTGGTGTCTTTGATGTATTTGGGGGGTAGGAGAGACTCTCCCTTCCATTCCATTCAACTATTTGTCTGTGCTTAGATCAATAACACATTGTCTTAATTACTGTAGCTTGAAATCAGGAAGTGAAAATCTTCTAACTTTGCTCTTGTTTTTCAAGATTATTCTGACTCTTCTATATCCTTTGTATTTCTATATAAATTTTAGAATTATCTTGGTAAGAAATCCTGCTGGTATTTTGACTGGGATTGCATTGAATATAAAGTTCATTCTGTGGAGAACTGGATATTTAACAGTATTACATGTATACACTAACAAGAAAAGCCTTTCGTGAAAATATAATTTCCTTTAATATTTGTCAATGTGCTAAAGTTGAACACGAGTAACATTTTCATTATTTAACTTCAACATGTCATGTCATTAGTTTATAATATGTGCTTCCTTAAACCAATATCTAAACTTTGTTAAATATTATATTCCTGAATCCTACTTTGGCTTTCTTAATTTTCTGAAACAAGTGCCACAACCCCAGTGCTGACCTTTTCCAAAAAAAATTATTTCTAGGAGCTCTTGAAACAACATGAAAGGGACACCTTGCAATTAGAGGAGCTGAGAAAGACCAAAGAGGTAAACATTTTCATTTTTCCTGTGGAATTAGCACCTTACAAATACATCGGTAAAATAATATACTTTCTTTTTTTTTCATTTTTCCCCCCGAAGCCCCAGTAGATAGTTGTATGTCATAGCTGCACATCCTTCTAGTTGCTGTTATAATATACTTTCAATAAAATGGAATCTATGATAATTTTCCTAAAAACAAAAAAATGGAAGACCTAACGCTGAGTTTGCTGGATTCAATAAGTCAAAAAAGATTTTAGAACTATCTGTAAAACAAAGCCATTGGTGTCTTTTTAGAGCCATATTTGAACAAATACACGAGCAATATACTGTGTGATCTTCAGGGTCAGGTGCCTTCCGTTTCTAGTAAGGCTCAAACTCTGAAATGGCCCTGACTGCTAAAATGCCCAATTCTTCCCTTAAGCTCTGAAAAGTACAATACTGTCCCCTGGGAACTCTGGCTCCAAACCTCTCCTTAAAACTCTGAGTATACCTCACCCCTCACAGCCTCCTCAAGGAACTCTGTTCTTCTGGGACAATTTTCGGCACTTCCATGTGGGAGACACCTGAAGGGAAGCTGTTCAAACCCACAAACTGCCTTGTGCTTCTTCTTTCCCTGGGAATTTAATTTGGATCCAGAATGGTCAAGTTTGGGAAGAGATTAGCCATTCTGAGAGCGTGGAATGACGTCTTGGAGCCCAGACAGGGCTTCAGCATTGTCGGGCACACAGACCACCCTGTTCTACAAGGCGAAGGAATGGGCTTTGGAGCAAGGTAGACCCAGCGAATCGTAAGAACTGCTTTGCCAAACTTGTCTACGAAGCCTATCATTTGTGTCATTTCTGGGTCTCTTTCTATTAATTGATTTTGCTGCTTGTTTATGGTCATATTTTCTTGCTTGTTTGCATGCCTGGTAAGTTTTTACTGGATGCCACCCATTGTGAAGTTTACCTGTTGGGTGCTGAATATTTTTGTATTCCTTTAAGTGTTGTTGAGCTTTGTGCTGGTATTCAGTTAAGTTACTCAGAAACAGTTTGATCTTTTCAAACTTTGCTTTTCAGCTTTTTTGGCCAGAATTAAAGCAATCTTTAGTCGACGGCTAATTTTTCCCCACTACTGAGATAATGATCTGCGTAGTCTATGCAATAGTCTGTGTATTAGCAGGATTTTTCTACACCGGCGGTGGGAATATGAACTATTCCCAGTCCTGTGTTGACCCCAGGGATTGTTCCACCTGCTTCCTGCTGGTGGTTCTTTCCCCCAACCTCATCTCCCTCTATTTCTTCCCCTCCGTCAAGCCACTCCAGTGGCTCTGGGATTCTTGCTGTTTCTTTAACAGGCCAGGATGCTCCCACTTTGGGCTCTTTGCACTTGACATTCTCTCTTCCTGGAAAGCCATTTCCCAGATACACACACAGCTAACATCCTTACCTCCTTCCAGTCTTGACTCAAATGTCACATTCTCGGGCTACTCTATTTAAAGGCCCAGCCACTTGCCCGCACTTCCTTTCCTTGTTTTATTTTTCTGCACAGACTTATGACCATCTAACCTGAAAAACTCATTGAAGGCAGGGATTTTTGTCCGTTTTCTTTACTGCCAATCCCCAGTTTCTAGAACAGTGCCTGGCACATCATAGTCATCCAGTAAACAGCAATTGATTTTTGAATGAATAAATAAATGAAAGAATGCAGAATGACCTGGTACAGAGCTTTGCACAATGCAGTTGCAGTAAGTGATTGTACCTCTCCAGTTTATGCATCCTGGGAGGATGCTCTTTACATGGGAAGAGCTCTGGGAACATGTCGGAGTTAAATGAGGCCGATACCTGAGAGCAGAGACCCATCGAGTTCATTGTTATAGTCTCTTCAGTATCTATCTAAAGTAGATTCCACACTTATCCCTTCCCTGCACTTATACTGCATCCTTGGTTTGTTTTCAATTTATTATTCTAATTATTTTATTTAATTTTATTTATTTTTTTTACGTTTCCCTCACTAAAGGTATCCCCATAAAAATAGCAATTATATCTGTCTTCTTCATCGTAATATTCTTGGTGCCGAATACAGTAGTAGATTTTTTCTAATTAATGGACTATTTTCTAGAGCAGTGTTAGGTTTATTGAAAAATTAAGCACGAAGTACAGAGATATCCCATATACTCCCCCTGAACCATACAATTTCCTCTACTGTTAGCATCTTGCATTTGTGTGGTACATTTGTTACAGCTGATGAACCAGTATCGATACATCATTTTTAACTGAAGTCCATAATTTACGTTAGGGTTGCTCTTTGTCTTGTACGTTCTATAGATTTTGTCAAATGCCTCATGCCGTGTATCCACCATTGCAGTAGTACAGAATACTTTCTCTGCCCTAAAAATCCTCTGTCCTCCACCTGTTCATCCCTTGCTTCCCCTCCCAACCCCCGGCAACCACTGATCTTTTTACTGTGTCTATAGTTTTGCCTTTTCCAGAATGTCATATAGCTGGAATCTGTAGTAGATACTTAACAAACATTTGTTTAATGAATAAATGATTGGTAACTGTTGTGGCAACCCACGCGAGCTCTGGTGAGGGCTGGCTCAGGGGCAGTGACAGAAGAGGGAATAGATAGGGGCGAGGCATAGAGGAGGTAGAATTAACAGGGCCTAGTGACTGAATGGTGCAGGAGAAAGAGTCGCTAAAGTCAAGTCTTCACATTCCAGTCCAGGTGCCCCGGAGAAGAGAATAAACGGGTAGACATTGTCACGATGTCCTGAAACAGTGTCTTCTCACACAGGTCATAGAGGAAGAGTTGCACGCACAAGCTCTTATCCTAGAATCACTTAACATAACCCTCTACCAAACCCAGATGGAACTCCAGAAAGAGGTGAGTCCTGGAGGGGGGATGGGAGTGGCGGGGAGGAACCCAGGTGTCTGTGCAGCCCTGCCTTGTGGCTCTCTCTGGGTGACTCTAATTTGGGAAAGATGGCTGTTATCATTTATATGTCTTTCAGAAAGCTGTGGTGGGAAATCTAGAGCAAACACTCCAGGCCAAGCTTGCTGAAGCTGAAGAAAAGTTTAAATACACCATACAGCTCCTGACAGAAGAAAACATTCATCTAAGGTGAAATGATGCTGCTCAAAAAGACAGGGATGAGTTAAATCTAGAAAATGGGAGGGCGTTTGGGTGAGGAATAGGTGAAGATGAGCCCAGGGATTCCCTTATGAAGTCAAGACATGGGCATTTTTGGGAGAGGGATGCTCACTCTGAGCCTGGCCACAGAAGTTACCTGCTGAGGGCAGACAGTTCATCTCAAGTGGTGGTGAGAATGTGTGTAGATTCCTCTCCCTTATCTATGTCTGATTTTGCCAAACGACACATGAGATTTATCTGAGAGTCTCTGAGTTTACTCAGTTCTGTGACTGAGGATTATTTTTCAATCAGTCTCCCTTTAGAGTTTAGAGGGTTAGGTGTCAATGCTTTGCCCTTAGATACAGCTGCATCTGGTTCCTGTGGAAATCAGCTTCAGGTCAGAAATTATACTGTTACCTGAAGAGGCATCTCAACTCATTGAAATAATTTTTGGTCAATACTTTAATAAAGGGAAGTTATTCATCATGTTAATCTAGTAGTAAATTCCTCCCATGGGAATTTGGCCACCCAAATATCATATCTCACTAAATCCAAAGCTGCTACAAGTAATGCGTGAGACTGCCCCCCAGTGAAGAAATGAAGCCACATTTCTCTCCCCCCAGATACCCCACACCCCTTTCTACCCATTGAGTCTATAGTGATAACATCTTCTCTTTCTTTATAGGCAAAAGATAATTGCCAAGAATGAAGAAATTTATGAACGACATAGGAGATCACCTTCTATTACCATTTATGAGGAAGTTCTGACACTTTAGAAGATGGCACCAACAAAAGACAAGAATTATGAGCAGAAAAGTTGTTCTCCATCACCAAGGATGGTAGGAACCCCTTCTCTGTGGGCCTAGAGAACCGCTATGAGGTTTTCTTGAGAAATGTGTATAGTGAGTTTAGTTTTTGGGTTGCTTTGATTCTACTTCTGTCTTTTCACAATTTGCTTCCCTCTGAGTGATTGGGAACATCTGAATTCTCATCTCAATTACATAGATTTTCATGACTCTTCATTGAAAAGTGATGTTCTCAATACCTGGAACTGAGCTTTCTCTGGGCTGTGTACTATTTTCTCTTCTCCCGTTACATATTTCATTAGGAAGACACTGAGCTGAAGAATTTCTTCCTATTAAATGTTGACTATATTTTGGGGTGTACCTTTTGTCCCCCTGGTGCATTTAGCTAGCCGGATGCATAATTTATTGATTTGATTCCAAAGCCCTTTTCTCTCCTACATGTGTCCCCACTGCCCCACCTCCCTCACCTATGATTTGGGAAGAGTTTCTGATGATTCTTGCCACTTCTCTAAACCATTTCCAGAATTCAAATGCCCACAGGGCAGGCAACATAAATAAATGAAGTGGGCTGGACATAAGGAAAAAGAAAAGCACGAGCCCAGTGATAAATGGTAGTTGGCAGTCCCCTCAATGGAGGGGATTGGGCAGTTGGGGGATAAGGGGATGGGGACTGGGTGAACCCATTCCACTGTTGCCATACATGAGCATGGGGTCAATGTGGTCAGATAGTCTGATTTTTCAAAAGAAGATATTCTGGTTTTTATGTGACATCTCCCAATTTTTAAATATGGGCAACAAATTTTTAAAAAATACAACTGTGTGAGCCAACATTGGGAGGCTCAAGTAAAACATACCTGTGATCCAAATGTTTTCTACCTGTGAGACGCCATTGACCAAAAACAAAAACAAAACGAACAAACAATCCAACCTCCAAGGAACAGTAAGATAAAGTTATATTTTATTCTATTAAAAATATTTTTGAAAAAACATTCTTTAAAAAGTTTCCTTCTTAAAGGGAACATAATTCCTAAAGATTTGGAATGAAATGTAACATAAAAGAAGAGCAAATGCAAATGCAGGAGAGGAGCACAGCATTGTTAGCAAAAAGGCCAATCCTACTGGCCAATATAGAAGCAAAGATATACCTTCAGAGCAGTAAGAGAAACGGCTGAAAGGGGAGTTTGGAAACAGACTATAAAGAATTTGTAAAACATTTCAAATTTTTAGATCTTAACATAAGAAATATTTTGAAGAAATTTGTAAAGTAGTGTAGAGGATGGCTTGGAAAGGGAGGGACTGGAATTGCAAAAAAGTAAAGTTAATATCAGCTTAACATTAGCTCCTTCAGTGTAACAGAGTACTTATGAATAATAAAAAGAAGGAAAATCATCGCCAGGTTTTGTGAAATCTAAGTCTAAACAGAGTCATGGTGTCTTTCCCACCGGAGAGCAGCGTCTTCCCACAGCTCCGGAGAGGAGGCCCATGTCTTTCTGAGAGGGCTCATCTCACTGGCCAGCACACATCAGGCTAGACGTGCGAGCACCACACCCGGAACCTCATACCCAGGGGTCAGGAATGTGAGTCTGGCAAATTCTCACAGGAACCAGGAAGGAGGGTAGGGAGACTACGATTTTCTTAACACTTACTATCTCCCGACGTTTTAACAACATTCACTTATTCTGAGGCTGTTCACCACCTCCCCCTCTTCTTGTGCCTCATCAAGCGTCTGTGCTGCCATTAACGCTGTGTTCAAGGTTAAAGCTTCAGAATGACATCCTTGATGTTTTTTTTAAACATTTAACAATTGGAAGGGAATTAAATGACTCTGGGTTGAAAGCAGATGAGAGATGTGTGAAAAACATTCTGCCACTGTTTTTAAATCTTTATGATATTACATTTCTTTTCAACTTCATTATACTTTTGAAATCTACTATAAGTTTTTTGAAAACTTTTTCGAGTTAAAAATACAATTAAAATCATGCCTATGGCTACAAATGTCTAGCTATTATTGCAAAGCCAGAAATTTTAGACTTGAATTTGCATAAAAATTAGATTGTCTTGACTCCCATTCTCCCCCTTTCCTGCCATCTAAAAAAAAAGGCAAAATAGCAGCATCACAGTAATAATAAATTAAGCATAGTGTTATGCAACTAAACAATAGCATCAATTAAGAGGGAAGAGGAGTTTTTTCCTCAGTGTGAAAGTAGGTTGTGGCATCTGTTTGCCCATATTTTTCTTGTCATCCTTATTGCTCACTTCAAAGTTCACATTGGTTAGGATGGTGAGAATATCTTCACCCCTGAAAAATATAACATAACATTGTGACCATCTGTGGGGAAAAAACACCTGGTAAACCCTTTCATCTGCTGTGCTCAATGACAGTCATTTCCCTCAAAACATCAGGCAGTTGAAATAATAAGTTGCCAAACCAAGACCTACCACAGCTTTCCAGGTAAAGGAGTTGTCTCAGAGCTTAATAACTTATCTTCGATTTACTCAGGATCTCTACTGACCATCAGAATCCTCACTGTCCACATCAGATTTGGTTTCTTGCCCTCCTGACCTGTTTGTACCTCGCTCTGCCCCATAATCACCTCAGTGCTCCCCAACATCCTCTGCCTCAAACTGACATTGCTTCTGTGGATTCACCTATGATACAATCAAACTGTAGGCAAGGGAAAATGGAATGTCGCCTGCAGCCACATCATCTCTTTCTCACCAGCCTCTCTCATCGGTTTAGTTGGGCAGCCTGTTCATCCACCTAGGCAGCTATCCCCCAGAACCTTGCAGGGTTCATGGTCTGAGTAAAACATGAAAACACAGTGTTGATGTTATGGTTCACTCCTTTATCTGCCATGGGAAATTCTTGACTTTCATACACTTAAGACGTAATGAGATATAGAACTAGAAGGAACCTGCAGAAGATTCCTTGCTATTCATCTGTCAGTTGTGTGTGCATTTGGGTGAACTATGACATACAAAACCGTCATTTAACTAAAGGAAGCAGAGGATATAACAAATGAGGGAAGGATATTTTCCCACGTTTTGCGGCTTCAAATCAGGCCAAATTAGTGACAATATAGAGGGTTTTTACTCTTTGGTACTTATCTCCCACAATACACCAAGAGGGTGTGAGGTTAGATAGTTACTATGGAACTTTTGACAGAGTTGGAGGATGTAAAACATTGAAATGGATTACTGCCTTCTTAGAAGACTTCCAAAACTAACTGAGTTGTCTCAGTCATGTTTCTGCCTAAAGACACAGAGGGACGATATGACTTTACCATCCTTCCCAGCTCTGTGATGCCCTGATTGTCCTCTGAGGGATAAATAAAGGATACTCCTTAGTAAGTGTCTCAGTTTTTTCCATCTATGAATGAAAGATGTTAACACTTGCCCTCTCTCCCACTTGCAACTGACCTGGGAAGTACAGCTGTGTGATCCACAGCTAGACATTTAGAGATGAATGAAGTTCTTTTGCCTACTCAGTTCAACTCAACTCAATTCAACTCAACTCAACTCAACATTGAGTAGGCAAAAATTACCTAGGACATCTTTCTCTCAGGCTCTGACAAAGTGACTGGATATACCAGGTCCCTTCCATTGGGTTCCGGTAGGAAACACAGTTGTTCACAGTGGCCATCCCCAGCAGAAAGTCAGCCTCATCTGGGATATATCTCTTCTGAAAGGATAAGTCCATTTCTAAATAGGCATCCTTCTGTTCCGAGTCGGTCTCAACAGCTATACCTTTCTGGTAGTTATCCCCTTGACAAGCCTGAATAAAAAAGATTTTCGGTTTGCCTGCAAGGGAAGGGCACTTAGAACCAGTGAAGTAAGAAATTAGCTCGTAGATGGAAGCTTCCTGCCCATCGGAGCCATAGACGATGCCCTTGTCTCCATGGGAGAGGATGCAGCAGACGAAGCAGTCTCTGTCATTGTGGTCCATGCTTTGGTAGGATTTCAGAGTCTCACAGATTTCCTTTGCTGTGGAGTCTTCGTAACGCACTATCTGAAAATGAAGATCACTAAAGGTCGTGCTCAAAGCCTCTGAAAAGTGAAATAAGAGAAGTCATATTACACCACAATAATTCCCAGACCACAGCGCAGAGCTAGAGAGAACATTTATCAGATAAGAATTTGAACCGAAACTTAAGAACAAGACCCTCTATATTAGTGGCTGGATTTCATAGGCTTCTAATATTTACCGCCACCAGCTGAAAACATTTCCCAGTCCTGAGGCAAATGAGAAAGGGGAGAGAGGTGTTGTTGGCCTGTTGTCTTTTCTCAACTACTCTACAAGATGGGTAAGCTATTATTTAAGCTTACTACAAAACCCATCTAAAAACTAATTGTATTACATAAACAGAAAAAAAAGCAAAAGAAAAATTTTTAAATAAAGATCCATACTTATTTTATCCTGAATCCTCTCAAAAGGGTTTATCAAAATACGAGATATAGGGCCAGCCCAGGGGCGTAGTGATTAACTTTGCACGTGCTTCACTTCAGTGGCCCGGGGTTCACAGGTTGGGATCGGGGCGTGGACCTACACAGCACTCATCAAGCCATGCTGTGGTGGCAACCCACATACTAAATAGAGGAAGACTGGCACAGATGTTAGCTCAGTGACAATCTTCCTCAAACAAAAAGAGGAAGATTGGCAACAGATGTTAGCTCAGGGCTGATCTCCCCACCCCCACCGAAAAAAAATACAAGATCCAAATGTTTAAAAAGTCAAGTAGAATTAAAAGCCTATTATAAAAGTGCTATCCCTTCTCTACCCCTCCCTATTATCTAGTCATGTCCCATGAAGGCAACCACTTCCAACTTTTAACTACTTGTTTTTTTTAGCCTCCATTTTGTAATAAATTTGAGTACATTGCTATTTATTCATTTATAAATTTTAGACTATTGTATTGGGTTCCTATTATGAAGAATAAGCCTTTGGTGCTCTTACACAATTATTTACAACTTTTAGTTGAATCAATAGTAACTATGTAATCAATGTTTACATAGTTCTACTAATAGAACTATGTAAACATAATGTTCTTTAATTATGCTTCCTTTCTTATTAAACTTTTTGTCTTTCCTGGAATTAGTAATTGCATTATTTTTTCATTGCTTTGTTTTCTATATGCTTAACATTATTTTTTCCCCAAGTACTCTAATAGATTTTGTCAAAATCTTTCAACATTTTCAGGTTGCCTGTCTGATTCTTTTTTTTTTCTTTTTTAAAAAATAAAAATTGTATATATTTAAGGTGTACAACATGATGATATACATAGTTAAATGATTACTGCAGTCAAGCTAATAACATCTCCTGACATAATTACTGTGTGTGTGCATGTGTATGTGTGTATGTGTGTGTGTGTGTGTGTGTGACAAGAGCACCTGAAATCTACTCTTAGCATACTTCCAGTATTGAATACAGTATTATTAAGTATAGTCATCATGCTGTACATTAGCTCTCTAGACTTATGCATCCTACATAACTACAACTTTTTGTACCCTTTGACCAAAAGACCAGAAATACAATCAATTATTATTTTAATTAAAATTTTTAATAGTAAGTTAATAGAAATCAAAGGCCTGAAACCTTTTCTTCAATACTAAGATGTATGATGAGGAATGACGTTGTCAATGGACTTAAACTCTGTGGTTTTTTTAAAATCTTAGAATAGACTTACTTGACTCAACAAATATTAACAGAGACCATTAGCAGAATCCTAATGATTAAAATCAGCCTACTTTAATTTTCTAAATTTTACTCAATTTAAAAAAGATCATTACATGATATTATGACTCATAAATACTATTTTCAAAAATTCTTTGATCAAATAAAAATTCTTAATATCACAATGGTTGGGTTGAATTATTTCTATTATTACTTTTTTTGTAACCATTTCTGTGTTCACATGCTGCAAATAATTTTTCCATTTAACTTGTAAGTTCTCAATCTTAGCCAAAATAGGCTGAGCAAAAGGATTTCTGGCTAGATTAACATTTGAAAATGCTATTTCTGTTAAGGACTCACAATTTCTGCTGTACTCATAGCCCAGCTTTTATAAATGCAACTTCTACAAGTGGTTTTGATACCAAGGCCATGTTTGCACCTAATACTTAATATATTCTACAGAAACACTACTCATTTGAATTAAAAGCAAAGCTTGTTGCTGCTTTTCATTATAAATCTTTTAGTAAGATTTGATATTTTATCTTTATATATACATTGCTTTGGTTTAAAAATTAATTAAAAAAAAACAAAAGCACAAAACTAGCAAATATATAAGAATGTTCTTCACCTCCACAGAGAAATATGGTTATATCCATTTTTTTTGAAACATGTGGCCGTTACTACAGCTTGTGTTCTCCCCTTTTGATAAAAACACAGGCATTAGAAATATTTCACTTCTCTGTGGGTTCTACTGTACCTGCATCCAAATCTGTTCCATTCCTGTCCTTAATGCTGCTAAGTTTGGGCACTTCCTTCCGTGCCACGCTAAAATCATAATTGTTAAAGATCAAACAGTATCCTCGAGGTTTGCTCTTCATTCGGTAAACTTTTTCGGATGTCTGAAAAACAAAAATCCAACCCAGACGCTGAGTCTGTGGGTCAAACATGAGATGTGAACAAGCGGCTCCCTACTAAGAGGTTAGGCCCCAGCCAAGCTGGGACCCATGCGCACTAACCACCCAACGTGACATGGTTTCCCTGACGAGCTAGTTGCCACCTCTTCCCGTCACACAGGTCCCCAGACTCTGCCCCACAGTTAGTGTGTAAAGTCAGTGCCCCAATACTTGGGCACTTTGCACTTATACTAATATTGTTGTCTTCCTATTGTATTATCATTCTTTGTTCTCGTTTCCACTCAAGGCAGGTAACATCAGTACCAGGGACTCGAATTTACTCATTTGTGAAGCTGTCAGGAGCTGCTGAATGGATGAAGGTCTTAGTGCTGCCTTTGGGCTGCCCCTGGTGACCTTGGGATTCCCTTGGCTAGCTACTCAACTCATCCACACTTCTGGGCTAACAGCTGAGGGCCTGCTCCTCACACATGTCAGAGTGTGGTCCCAGGATTTTTAAAGCTGACGGCTTAATCCGGCCCTCAGGACCACAGTGAGAGGAGAGAGATGCGGTGGTCAGGCAGGCCTCAGCTCTGCGGCAGGTCACAGCGTCCAGGCTCTAAAACCTGACAGGGTCAGTCAGAGGAGGTCCTGTGTCCTCTGACTTTCCCAGGGCTGTTTCGGTGCGGAAATATTCCACATTAATTGGGAAATCCGTGCAGCTCCTTGAGGTGAAGAAAAGGGCTCCAGGCTAGGGGGCCAAATTCTTGCCTCTACTACTTAACAACCTTAAGACTTAGGGCAAGTTACCTAATCTCTCCTGCACTCAGCCTGGTTAGCTGTTCTGCGGGACACTTGTGGAGCGCTTTCCTGTTTACGAAGTGCCGCAGGACTTCAGTCAATCCTTGATTTTCAGACTGAGCGAGGTCTGGTAATTTGCTCAGGAGCCCACTAGTGAATGGTCTCTCTCAAGCTGAACTGCAAGTCTCCCACTGGACTCCAGTGTTCCCGTGCTTCCCGCCACCGGAGGGGTGAACGGGCTGGTGAGTCAGAATGTTTGCTGAATTGTTAACCGTTACGTAAACAGGGTGATTCTGTCTAGAAAGGCCATTCTGGTGCTGGCTCCTTGAGACGAGAACCTAGAGGCGGCTAGATCGTGAGCGTTTGCTGCTTATCCCTCATCACAAGGGAGGAACAGCTTTGAAATGTCAAGCTAGAAGGGAAGGCTTTTTCCCATCCTGCTAGACGCTCCCCCACAGCCCTCTCCCGTCCCAGCTGCAGCCGCTGGAAGGTGCTGAAACCGCTCCAGTACAAGCGTCGCACCCCGTCTGCCCTCCAGCGAGTCCAATGCCTTTGTCTCTGGCTTCAAAATAAAAATTTAACACACAAGAAACCAAAGAGATCATGATTTTAAAATTAAAAACACATTTTAAACTTGTCCCTGGTGAATTTTTTCTACAGTCCTACCATTTTTCAGTAAGTTTCTGCCCCTTATTAGTTTCTCTGGAAGCTAACAAGCTCAGGAATACGGTAACTAGAACCTGTTTCCACGTACCTGGGTCTCACTGTCCTGCTGTCCGGGAGAGTCCGACATCTCCTGCCCCCCGAGCGAGCCCTCCCCTGCGAGCAATCGAGACACAGCGGGATGAGACTGGCGGGGAAGGGACTTGGGTAAAGAAACATGTAGCACCTAAGACAACATAAGGTCCCTTTTAAAATGAAAATTCACAAACTGCCTTGAACACAGTGTCCTTGCAGTGCACGAATAAGTAACCATCTTACTACAACTAACTCTGCACCTATTTCAAACTTGCCCGCCTGGGGCTGCAGGGTCTGTGTCTTTTGACAATTCTTTTTACATCTTTCAATGTGTAGAGAAGGTGACGACGAGGAGGCACTGAGCCTTTATCCCGATATTAGGAGAGCAGGTCCTTTAAGATGCGGCTGAGGTAGAAGGTGGTGCAGAGGAGGCAACGAGGCTATCAGAGAGTAAATCAACTAAACAAATCTTGAAAACCTATCTCCAAATATTACCATTTGGAAATTCATCTGGACTTCTTTCAAGGCTTATTCTTTCCTCTGTTTCTAAAAAAGAAACACATGCATGTTTGATTAGAAACAACTGTGACATAGAGGGATGTGTCAACTGAAGAATACGTTTGGCTGATTCACGCCCGTCACAGTATTTCTACCTCTGCTTAATTCTTCATAATCGTTGATTTTCTTCAGCAGGCTCTTGTTGACTTGGTCACAGATTTTTTTCAGGGTGTCCAAGTTTCTCTCTCCCAGCATGACCCTCTTCTCCATCTCTATGAAAATATCAAGCAAGTTCTAGAGGGAGGAGAAATAAAGTGGGAAGCCTGCATTGAGCCATACTGGCTTTTAGATTATATATATTTTTTTACTTCTACTTTCTCCAAACCAAGGGCCCACCCTCGCTTCTGAAACCAACCTTCCTGAGAGGACATCCTGGTCTTAAAAAGCCAGTAGACTACTAGGAGGCAATTCTATACTTTCTAGCCCAGAAAGACAGAAATGAGAAGATAGAGGAGAAGCCACATCAGAAGGCACCCAGTCCCCAGGCACCAGGCCCTGTGCTGAAACCCCTGTGACGCCCCTCCCTGAGGACTGTGAACAGCCGAGGAGCATGGCTGAGACACAGCAGCCTGGTCCCCACGGTGACAGCCCTGCACACTGCCTCATACCCAACATTGCCTCTGACACCCGATCCATCGCCAGACCTGAGTCCCCCACACACACACTCACACAGACATGCACACACACAGACATGCACACACACCACACACACATACAGACACACCACACACAGACACACACACCACACACAAATACAGACACACACACAGAGTTCCAGGTCCCAGGTTGTTTCAGAGACTGCAGAAGTGAGGAAAAACGTCTCAGGCCCCCCACTGTCTTTCCTGGCTCTGCACGGTCCCACATGGGGCTGTGCCCCCACAACCAGCCTTCTTCCCTTGCTCCTGACTCTGCCTTGCTCCTGATAAGTAATGTGAGCAGCACTTCACAGTATACAGAGGAATCATATCTACAACACTCATGCCTGACAGCTTTCTTCTTGTCTCCTGGTTGAAAAGTGAGAATTCAGGTTGCTTTTACCAGACTAGCCCTCTCTTCAAGTCCCAGAAGGTCCCCCCGGCTGACTCATCCCCAGGACTCAGTCTCGAGGAGACGTCAGGTCTTACCATGTCGTCATCCAGTCTACATTTGGAGATCTCCTGGCTCAAAAGAAACTTAAAGGACTTCAATTCCAGTTTGGTGACATCTTCCGAAATCTGAAAAAGCATGACCCTGTGGTGGGAAATGGAGACACTTTAGAAAAGCTTTCTTCAGTAGTTCCCCATTTGATACATGGAGTCACAGTGGACTTGATTCCAGTGGCCTCTCTTTAAAATAAAGCCAGCTAATGACATAATTAAGGAGTTGAGTCCTTGGAAAGAGGCTGGTGTGATGACACAGAAGACTGGACTCGTGCCCAACTATCCCACCCTTAGAATTTAGAGTTCCACCGACCTGGTTGTTCAGTTAATTTCAATTAAATGAGTCCTGTTTTTCCTTTGTCCCTTCACTATAAAAGCGACACTTCGTTGCAATAGAAAAAAGTTTCAATTTTGGAAATTATGTTTTCCAAAATGCAAATCAGATCACTTCCTTAGTTAAAACTCATTAGTGTTCTCCCAGCCATTGCCTTCAGTAGGAAAGCCAAACACTTGGTTCTGGGCTACAGACCTTTGTGAACTGAGCCCAGCCTACCTCCTCTTCTTGGCTACTCCTCACCACCTCCCCATTCCTCTCCCAGCACATCCAGCTTCCTGTCCCTCACCCCTTTATGCCATGCCCCCCACACTCCCGTTCCCTTGTCTATGTGCGGACAACTGCCCATCCACTCAAGCACTGCCTGAGGGTCCTCAAGGCTGCATTCACCCCACTGTGCCTTTGTATCACTTGAAGAGCAACACACATATTATAATTGTCTGTTGACAAAACTGTCCAAGTCCCCTGAGAGCAGGGTCCATGCCCTTTTTGTTTCCATAAGCCCAGAGGGTTGTGAAGTGCAGTGTTTAAGTGCAGGGGACCCAGAATACCGGTGTTGGAACCTCGATCCCACCATCTGTGACCTGTGTGACTTTAGACATGTTACTCATTTATTGTTCACTCATCTGTAGACTGTAGATAATACTGCATCTAGGGCTGGCCCAGTGGCTTAGCAGTTAAGTGCGTGCGCTCCGCTACTGGCAGCCTGGGTTCGGATCCCGGGCGCGCACCGACGCACCACTTCTCCAGCCGTGCTGAGGCCGCATCGCACATACAGCAACTAGAAGGATGTACAACTATCTACTGGGGTTTTGGGGGAAAAAAAAAAGGAGGAGGATTGGCAATAGATGTTAGCTCAGAGCCGGTCTTCCTCAGCAAAAAGAGGAGGATTAGCATGGATGTTAG